TGTCCTGTCTTTGGAGTCCATGTATCCAAGACTCATGGACACTCCTTTAGCTGCAATAAAGGACCATCTGGAGTTTGGCAATAGGTTCACAGTGTACGAGAGACTTTTAACACTTATTTCTTCTCTGAAACTGAAAGAAGAAGCAGGAGCAGGTTCACAGCTTTCCAAGAAGAAAATCACAGGATTTAAAGTGAGGGAGAGGGGTTGCTCCTGAAAAGTTATCCTGTGCTTTGGGACAGACCAAACTAGACCCTCCACAGCTGCCCTGCCATCTCTGCAGTGACAGAACCCCCTTTCACACTCCCTGGCTGAGTAGTGAAGGACCTGATAGTGGACATGGCTGCCCTTGGTGCCCTCCCTTTAGTGGCAGCTCCCCTGCAGAGGATCCCTACAGCCCTACCACTTCCAGTCTCTCTCGAGGGTGAGGGATGCCCAAAATAGCTAGCCAGCCCCTCTGCACACCCCAGACCACATTATTTCTGCTGTCTGTAGCCTTAATACCTCCCTTTCTTGGTCTTGCTCACCCTCTCGGCTCTTACTGAGGAGCATTGGTAGGTCCTCATTAAGCTGTAACACTAATGATGGCAGATGCAGAGAACCTGACTGGTTTTCCCCACATGCAAGCAGAATCCAAACCCACATGTTGCTGCATATTTGGCATTAGTGAAGACCCGTTTTCCACACCTGTAAAAAGCAGCAGAGCTAAGCAGACCCCAAGGAGATTTCAAGCAGAAAAATGGAAGAAATCTTGACACTGTTCACTACACAGGCTTTACTCAGTGCCTAGGAAAAAAAGAAAAAAAGCCCAGGCAGTACACAAATGTTCATACATCAGTTTGGAAAAAGTTCTGGGTGCCAGGCAGGAGAACATGGGGATTCGGTGCTACAAGACGTCATGAACTGAAGAAAAGAGAGGGGATGTGGACAGTACCCCAGGATACTCAGATGTGGGATCACTAAAGATGTAACATATTTGTAGTGATATTAAATCTCAGAGTTCAGAGTCTGAATCATTTCCTGAAGAGTGGGAATTAGGAAAATGCCTATCAAGAGAAATTTTTTTTCACTCTAGACTCCTGCAGGAAGCTGTTTTCTCTCTCTCTCTCTCTCTGCCAGGCAGCACTGGAGACAAGGAGACAGCCTGATCCAACAGTGATCAGTACAGAAACACTGTAAGCTGACAGAAGCTATTATGCAGTATGGGAATTGCCATCCACCATTACAGGATGCTAAAAGTACCCACAGAAAGAGCTATGACTGATACAAGACCATCTGAGGAATGTGCCTAAGGTTCTTGGGCCAGAAAGCAGAATAAAACAAACATAGGTGTAAAGTGTCTCGTCAGAGGTGTCTGCTGGCCATGGCCAAGCTGCTGGGGGAACGTCCCTTTACAAGGCAGGTCTGAGGATGCAGCTTGGCACTGGAGAGAAGTACAGTGGATCCCTGTGTCCAGCAGCAGAGGCTGGGAGGGTTTGAGAATCATCTTGTGAACCTCTGCTGGGGATGGAGGCCACAAGAGGGCAAGAGTATAGCCACACCTTCCTGGTGTGAGGAACAGGGGAATAGAGAAGAGGAAAGCTGCTGGGTCTGGGGGGATGAGTCTGCTGCTAAATGGTGTTGCAGTTTGGAAGGAAAAGAACAAGACTCATCTGAGGCCTTGCAAACTCAGCTCATGTGTGAGTTGAGAGACAAGTGAACTGCTGTTTGACCCTACCCCTAGTTGCTACCCCTTCATAACAGGACCTGAGAGGGACAAGGGGAACAAACATGGCAAGCCTAACACAAAGAGATGTGTTTTAGGGAGAGTTTTCTTTCTAGCAGCATTTGGCTTAGCTTAGAGAGCTCCTGTAAGGCCAAACGGGGTAGGGTGAAAAAAAGGAGGAATGAAAAACCAGGGCAACTGAAAGAAAGAAGCGAGAAGTAGGGAGGAGCAGCCTCACAGTGCTTGAAGTTGGAAGAGATCACAGTCAAAATCTAGCTCTGAATCTTGGGGATGCTTTTGCAAAGGATGGAAATATTAGTTTTTAATTAATTTTCTCACTGCATTTGTTGGAAGGGGGATCACCTTCACAAAAAGAAATACAAATAACTGTTTTAACAGGAAACTTTTGCTGCTGTAATTTATTGGAAGGCGAAATGAGCTCCGATTACATTATCCACCCGCACTGTGCCGGCAACGTGTACTTCGGATATTGCGCTATAATCCAATGACTGCTCCTGAATTATTAAAACCAAGTTGTTATTAGAAGAAGTTGCCTGCCTTATTTCCGCCATCCCCCCCCCCACTCCCTTTATTAAGTTTCAATTGATTCCCCACACCTCCTCCTGCCCCCCAAAAATGAGCCCTCGCCTCCCCGGCTCCTTCATAGCTGCCACAAATGTTACTTGCATTTGGCAGCCTGGTGAATTATTCACGCGTGCCGGGAGCAGCAGAGATATTACAGGTCTCGGAGGAGCCAGTGCGGCTCGGCTGTCACAGCCCTGGGTGGCTGTGTCGTGTCCCCCCCACAAACAAAGTTTTGCAGAGCCCCGAGTCCGCAGCGCAGTTGCGGGGCAGGGGGGCATCTTGCGGGCAGACCCTCCGTCGCTCCTCTTCCGGGGGAAGCGAGGAAGCCGGGACGAGGTGGGCATCACCTCTGGTCTTGACACCCTCAGACCAGCCTCGCGGGGCCCAGAGGCGACAATGAAACCGCCTCCGGACGCAGCTGCACGGGCCGGGCACTGTCTGCCCCCGCCTCCCCAGCGCCCGTCCCCGCGGTCTCAGGGTGAGCTCCGCGGCCACGGACCCCTCCAGCTTACTCCCCCTCCAGCCTCTTCCCTGGAGCTGAGGTGGGCTGGAGAGAAGGCGGTCCGAAAACAAGAGTGACCCAGGTGACAGACAGGCTCTGAACGGAGAGTCGGGGGTGCGCTGATACCCTCCGACGAGTCTTCTTCCCTGCTTGCACCACGGCCCGGCCTTGCCTCTTCCGGAACTGGAACGGGGCAGGGAGAGCCCGAGAACTGCTAAATCTCTGCCATCCAGAGGGGTCCTGCGAATGGCATTTATCGGAGTATTTAGGGGTTTTAAAAAAAATAAAATAACAACAATCAAGTTCTCGCCTTGCATGGAGCTGGGACGGGCACGTCCCGCCTGTTCTTCCCAGGGAGCCTGCCTCCAACTGAATTTCTTGGACTAGAAAATAAAATACTGGAATTTAAAAGATTAAATACGTTCAGATGCTCGTATTGGCCGTTCCCGCGAGGGAACCTCTGGAGCGGCTGCAGGAGGACCCTGTCCCCGGGAGGAAACCGGGGGTCTGGCTGGGACGCCATCTGCACAGACCGCCTCTCTAGCCCAAACAATCCCCGGGGATCCCCTAAAATCCACCAGGAGCAGTGACTCGAGAGGGTCTCCGGCCGTGCTGAGAGGAGAGGGGACTTGCTGGCCAACGACATTTGAAATGGGGACACCCCCGTTTTTCTCCCCTGCTGTGGGAAATGCTCCCTGGGGCCCCACGTAGGACGATAAAGTGGCTGAAAGTGTTGATCCGCCCCGGGCGTTACTTTCGATTTGTGATTATAAAAGGTCTTGCGGCGGAGACGGGCTCCCCTATTTCCCTTGCACCCGCCCGAGAGCATCCCCGCTTACAGTGACCCAGGGACTCGCTCAAACTGAGGCTCCTTCCCCTCCCCCGGTCCCGCGGCGTGGAGGCAGGAGCGGTGCGAGCACCGCCGTGCCAGCTACTCTATGAGGGGTTTTGTGGGGGGAAACAAATCGGCCCCAGGGGTGGGCAAAAGGTGGACGATCCCTGTAGCTCCGCCGGTCTCGGCTCCGCTCAGTCGCCCGGGGAGTTCGTTTGCAAACGAAAAATCCCCTAGGAACGTCGGGGAGCCGGGCACCGCGCTGCCAGCCCGCCCGGGTAGGGCTGCTCCCCGCATCCCGCTTCTAGTCGGGTTCCTGGGGCAGCGGGTTTCGTCCCTGGTCGGCCCCGCGCAGGTCCCGTCCCCACGCCGAAGCCCTCCGAAGGAACTGCGGCTTCTCCGCCTCTCTCTGCCGGGGAAAGGTCGGGTCTTCGCGGGGCCGGTGCGCTCCAGCCGAGCCGGGCCGGGCGCGCTGGCCCTGGCCCTGGCTCCCAGGCCAGATGCGGGCACTCGGGTCACATTTATTTTTGGTGCAGCGAAGTTTTTTCCCCCGCAGGGAGGTGGTTGCGAGGGGAGGAAGGATCGGGCAATAGCTATACAACGACCTCCAGAGATGGGCTCGGTGGGGGAGCTTCTTTCCGGCCCCGCAGTGCCCCCCCGTCCTCCAGCGCCCCCTCTCCATCACAGATGGGAGCCAGCGGGCCCCCAGCTCGGGGTGGTTGTTTTCCAAAGGGAGCAACGCGGAGCAGCGCCCGGCGGCGGCGGGGTCAAGGGGTACCTGTAGGTACATTTTACAGCAGTTTCGGTAGAGAAGACTAGAACAGGGACCTCGGATCCCGCCGTGGCTCTCCCTCCTCCGGGCTTCACGGCGGGTCCCACTGGGCACTCTCCGCCTCTCGGCACCCGGAGCCCAAAACTTGGGTGGGGGTTGCTTAAAGACAAAAATAACTGTTATTTCCTAGGTTCCCGGCTCTCCCTCCCGGCTTTTGCGAGATGCTGTGCCAGGACTAGCTGTCACCTCGAGGGCACAGAGTTTTGCTCCTCTCCACGCTGCTAACAGGGAGCAGTAACGTGTTTAGACCACTTAAACTAGGCAGACATAGCTGGGAGCCATGCACGGCTCAGCTATGCCGGGAAAGGAGGTGTCATTTGTACACAGTTACTTTGGTGATCAACACTTGAATGATATATGCCGCCTGCTTTAATTATATTCCTGTGACATTTTCCTGGACAGGAGCGGGCCGCGCACAGCCAGAGCCAGGCAGCCCCGGGAGTGCCCTGCTGCTGGCCGCCGGGCCTGGGACTGTTCCGGGGAGGGCATGCACGCCGACCCCCCGAAATACGGCTCTGAGGACGGCGAGGGGAAACGCCTCCAAAGATGCTATCCATAACCACAGATTTATTTTTTTGTTGTTTGCCCACTCACAAATAGTTTCGGATTCAGCGGCAGTTTTCTGCTCCGTGGAGGAGGAAGGGCCGCAGCTTTTCTGGCTTTTCTTCCACAGAAGAAGGCAGGGACCAGGAGGGACGCTTCCCCGACGGTTTCAGGGGACTCCGTCATCCATCCCCGGGTACACCCAAGGGCCGCTGTTCCTTCCAGCCCTGCTCGCCTCCCTGCCTCTTGACCGGGGACCCCACTCAAACTTCCCGTACCTGCACCAGGAATAGATCAGTGACAGGTACCACTCAGAGCGGTTGAAGCAGGCAGAAGTGGGGAGATCGGAGCGCATCGGATGAGGGTGCTTTCCCCCAAACGACCTCAAAGCTGGGACGCACGACTACCAGCTGCCTTCCGGAGGGCCGGGCAGAAGAGCCCGGCAGGATGCGAAGCTCCGTGGCGGTGGCTGGAGCAGGCCCCCGGCTGTCCTCTGTGCCCCCTTGCTCCCCGCGGCCCTCTGAGGACAGGGAGGTGCAATGGGACATGCTGGGGAGGGGGGGGGGGGCACTGAGGGTCTCTAATTCGGGGTTGAGTGCCAAGAGGGCTGCCGAAAAGAAAATTAAAATAATTAAATTTCAAGGGGTGAGAGGGGGGATGCTGAGCTCTCCCGCTAAGCCAGGGTGGGGGCGGCCCAGCTTGCCCCTCCTCTGATTTTCGGCCACCCCGGAGCGCAGAGAGGGAGTCGTTTGCAAGGAGCGAGATGCAGTGGTTGCAAAGGCAAAGTGAGCGCAGGGAAAACGAACCCAAATCCGCCAAAGGCGCCACCGGGCAGCCAAGAGCACGGGAGAGAGGGGAGTCTGTCGGAGGCCGTCGGGACGGCCACTGAGCGCCGTGGGGCTCGGGGGAAGGAGGGCCGGGACCTGCTCCCTTCCCTCTCAGCCACCCCTTTTCTCAGTGAGGTGCTGTCCGGGGGGGACACTGGGTACAAGGGCAAGCGTCAGGCCTGGAGCCATCGGGCTGAGCTCATGCAAGGCATGAACCCGGCTATCCCCTGACAGGCAGCGACCGAGGCAAACGAAGAGAAGTCCCTCTGTGCCGGAGTCTGTACTGAGGCTGCTGTCCGCCTTCGGCTGGGCTCTGCCTCTATTAGGGAGCCAAAAAATAAAAACAAAAACAGGGGGCATTTAGAGCCCTGTCCTGCAGCGTAGGCAAAGAGGGGAGATGCGGGCTGGAGGGACAACAGGGGATTGAAAACGATTTTCAGGGTTTCGCTGTGTCTGGCGCACTTTTGCCCGTGCCCTGAGTTGAACGGGCTGCACTCGAGATGGGGGCGCAAGTTGTGCCCCGGGTCTGCGCTCCGCGGGGAAGGCTGCAACCGCTAACTGGCAGGGCCTCGGAGCATCCCATACGCCGTCCAGCCCACCTAAACTCGCATCCAGGAATGAGACTCTTTTTCTTTCGGTTTCCCCCCTTTTTTTATTTTTTAAAGTCTTATTTCTGTAGTTACAACACCAGCATTCCCGTCCGAGTTCTCAATAAAATCCGAATCTGACATAAAACGCCACGCTAGAAAATAATGTGAGGGGACACAAGGGAGAGGAGGAAAGTCTCTAATTGGTTAAAATATGTTTAAATCACTTCATAAAACCCAAGCAAAGCGAAGCAAATAATCCACCTAGCAAAGCAAAGAAACCAGACGATTTAGAATCAGTGTAATTCGCTCCCCCCTCAACCGACTACCCCCCCCCCCCCCAGTTCCTCGCAGTATTTGATATGATGAATAACCCAATATAGGCCTTTAAAAATAGGTCACTGCATAAAGAGACTCCCAGAGAGCTATAAAAAATGGGAAGAGGGCGCTTTAAGGAGAGGAGCCATTTGCTTCTTTTGTGCTTGTTTGGTACCTAGCGGCCTGGGAGCTGCCAGCCGTCCTCCTCCTGGCCCTCAAGGTGAGGAGGGAAAGTTGTGGTCGGATCTGGCCCCAGCCTCTCCTCCCGCTCCACCGCCCCTCCAACCACCGCCCACCCCGTCCAGCCCCGGCCCGCGGGTCGCGGGTCGCGTCCCGGCCGCCCCACGGGGACCGAGGGGTACTCACGCCTGAGGTGGGGACCAGGCTGCTCACTCCCAGCTCTGGGCTTTGTCTCCGTCCCTGTGGAACGGCGAGGCACAGGCGGGATGGTGGCCCGGGTGAAAATACTGAGGAGCGGGTCTGCCCCTGCCGCGCCGGGCCGGGTTCCCCCGGGAGTGGGGGCACAGCAAACCCCGCGCCGCTGCCCCTCTCCAGAGCCGCCCATGGGCTCGCAGCAAAAGGCCTCGGACTGGAAACCGGCCCTCCCCGGCCCTTTCCCCCCGCGCTGCCCCCGGCCAGGACTACCCGCCATCCCCGGCGCCAACGGAGCCCAAGAAGCCGCCGACGTCCCGCGAACGAACACGGCCCGCGACCCGCCGCGCAACCTCTCCGCGGGCACTCTCGGCACCGGCACCCTCCCAGAGGGGCCTGCTCCCGCCCCGGACTCCGCAGCCCGCTAAAACACAGGGCGCTGGGAAAGAGGAGCACAACAAATTCGGCGGAAACCTTCGGATTTTATTGGAAAGGAAAGGTCTGCCTTACCTGGAACCAGGCTCTCCCCTTCTTCCCCTCATTTAAAAAAAAAAAAAAAAAAAAAAAAAAAAAATCAAACGGCTCTGCGTAGAGCCGGAGAGAGACATTTTAAATAACCTGGTAGCCGAAATTAAAAGGAGGAAGAAATGGAAGAAAAAACAAAAAAAAATCTCGGGGGGAAGAAAAAAATATATACGGTCGGATATTTTTCGTTTTGGTTTGTTTTCCCTTATTATTTTTCACTATACTGTATTATCCTGATGCAATAAAGGTTGGTTTGTAATGTAATTTAAAAATATATATGTCCAAACAAATAGCAGGGCCAGAATATGACAAGTGCATTCAGCATTATAATTCAACTGGGCTCCACCTCCATACCGCCTCCTAATTAATGGGTCTCCGAACTTGCAAAAGCCTGCATTGGACAGAGAGAGAGAGAGAGAGAGAGAGAGGGAGAGAGAGAGAGAGAGAGAGAGGGCGAAAAGTGTCATTGAAGATAATTGATTACCTCCCAATCAACAATAACTTGTTAGCAATAGTCAATTACCCCATCTCTTCTTGCTTCTTTCCCCCTGGTCCGAGGTCTCGGTGCGAGGGCTGCTCTCCCCCTCGCCGAAGTCTGCTTTTTCTTTTTCTTCTTCTTTTTTTTTTTTTTTTTTTTTAATATTACTTTGGGGTGGGTATTCGCTGGGGGGGGGCAGGGAAAGTGCTGTGATTTGGGGTGTTTCTTAAAATAGCAGCAAGGAAGAGAAAGGAGAGGAGAGAGAGAGAGAGAGAGAGAGAGAGAGTGAAGGGAGAGAGGGGGGGAAAAATCTCCGACCCAAAACCCTGGGACAAGAGGTACGGCAGGACCACCTCTCGGCGAGGGACCGACGGCAGCTCTGCTCCTCTCCGCGCCCGCCCGCCCGCCGCCCGGCCCGCCCGGCCCGCCGCCCGACGTGGCTCTCCCCGGGAGGACCCGGGGCTCCTCCGCCGGAGTTGGAGGTGGGCTTCAACTTTTGCTCGCTGTCTTCGCCGCCGTCACCCCGCGGTCCCGCCGGGGACTTCTGCCCGCGGCAGCGCATCCCCGTCGCGGGTGGGGAAGGCAGCCCCGCGCGGCCCGGCCCCACCATGACTTCCAAAGAAGAACCCAAGCCCTCCTCGGGGGAAGAACGGCGGCGGAGCCCCTTGGATCACCTCCCACCGCCGGCCAACTCCAACAAGCCCCTCACCCCCTTCAGCATCGAGGACATCCTCAACAAGCCCTCGGTGCGGAGGAGTTACACCCTCTGCGGAACGGCACACCTCCTGTCCGCTGCGGAGAAGCACCCCCCGGCCGGGTTGCCCCTCTCCGGCCGGGCGCTGCTTTCCCAGACCTCGCCCCTCTGCGCCCTGGAAGAGCTGGCCAGCAAGACCTTCAAAGGGCTGGAAGTCAGCGTGCTGCAGGCGGCCGAAGGTAAGACCCCCTTGGAGTGGGGGGATCCTCCAGCGGGTGGGTGCCCCACTCCTCCCCACGGCCTGGTTTTCCTTCTCACCTCCCCCACCCCCCCACCAGCTCCCGGGGTGTCGCATGGGATGGGATGAGGGGGGTCCCTTGGCGGCCGGTACCCGGCGGCATCCTCGCCCCGCGGCCCTCGGGGTGCAGGAGCGGCTGCTCTGCCCCACTCCCTCCAGATACCGACGGGGCAGGGGTGTGGGGGCCGGGGGCTCGGGTCGGGGGGGGACATGTAGAAAGCGGGTACAATCTGGCGGCTCGTCGGCAGGCCGGGACGGGATGACGATCTTCGGGCAGCGGCAAACGCCGAAGAAGCGTCGGAAGTCGCGGACGGCCTTCACCAACCATCAGATCTACGAGCTGGAGAAGCGGTTCCTCTACCAAAAATACCTGTCGCCGGCGGACCGGGACCAGATCGCCCAGCAGCTGGGGCTCACCAACGCCCAGGTCATCACCTGGTTCCAGAACCGCCGCGCCAAGCTCAAGAGAGACCTGGAGGAGATGAAGGCCGACGTGGAATCGGCCAAAAAGCTGGGCCCTAACCCCGCCGTGGACATCGTGGCCTTGGCTGAGCTGGAGCCCAGCGCCGAGGGAAGGGGCAAGGCGCGGCCCGGGTCCCCGCCGCCGCCCCCCGCCGCCGCCCGGGAGCCCGGTGCCCCGCCACCGCCCCGCCCCGCCTCGCCCCCCACGGAGCGGCCCCGCAGCCGCCGGGACAGCGAGGAGGAGGAGGAGGAGGAGGAGGAGGACGTGGAGATCGACGTGGATGACTGAGGGGCGGCCGGCGGCCCCCCCCACACCCCCTAGCCCTCCCCCCCCATCCCGACAGCTCCAAACCGGCACCCTCGGCCCCCCATCCCGGCCCCGGCAGCACGGCTGGGCGGCTGCTCCCCTCGGTCGGAGCAATAAGCAATAGAACCCCACCACAGACACACACACATCCCGATTAATTTAGGGTAGAGTCGATATCCCTCCGCCTGCCACATCTTCGGAACGGTGCAATTACGGACGGCTTCTGTATAAATATTTAAACGTATATATTGGATTTTTTTCCTTCCCCATTCTTTTTGAGGTTTTGATTATTATTTTTTTAATAGCTATCAATGATGATTATTTTATCTAAAAGGGAGAGGCATAACCTTGGAATAAACTCGGCTTCCAGCAGATGTTTGGGAAAGCAGTTGTTTTCAAAGACTTCCGAAACGAACCACTTTAGAGAAGATTTAAGTTAGGCTTAAAACGGCAACAGCAAAGAATTAGCCAGTTTCCTTTCCTTGCATGTTTCGAATGTGCACGAACTAATTTTTTTTCTTTTAAAAATATTTTTTCTTCTGCAATCTGGGGAACTTGGGGCTGGGCTATAATGCAAGTTGAAAAATATATACTTTCTTTTTTTTCTAGAGCATAGAGATTTGTCTCCAATGCAATTTCTGCCTCATTTTACCAATTAAAAGCTATTTTTACCATTTTCTGCTATGTTTGTGCTTTTATTAAAAGCTGCCTTTCGTATTTTTGATATGAAGGTGGTAACAAAAAAAAAAAAGGAAAATGAAAAAAAATCCTAGAATTATTTTTTACTCTTTTTAGAATTTTTGCATGCTATGGAAATAAAAAAGGACAAATCCCAAGATCACTACATTTAAATATTACACTATAAATTAATAAAAATGTACAGATTTAAGACTTGTTTTTGTTTGAATTGTACAAATTTTAAAAGGCCTGCTATTTAAGTTCCGATAGGGACAATGTCGCTTTATTTACTGTCTCTTAGAATTGTACAGATAGCTCTTTTTTCCGATACAATAAAATCTTTACCATTTTAATATACTTTTTGACGTCCTTCTTTGTGACCGAAAAAACACTCCGTCGGTCCGAGGTTACGCCAGACTTTTCTACCACAGAGATCTCCCATCCCGTTTGCATTTAAAGTTACTTTATGCACAGTACCTGCAAGAAAAATGACGGGAAAAGAACACACGAGAGAGACCTTTATTATTATAATTTCTTTTTTTAAGGCTCATGCCAGGTAGAGCTTAGCAGAGGGAGAACGCGGCAGATCGATAAGGCAATAGGTGCAGGCAGCGCTTCCCGGGCGCGGGGGATGCGCAGCGGCAGCGGGAGAACGGCGGGGCGAGCAGGACCACCGGGCACCCCCCACCCGCCCCGCCGCTCCCGACGCCAGCACGGCATTTCCAGCCCGAAATTGGAGAGGAAAGGAAGGGGGGGAGGAAAAAATAATAGAAAGAAAAAAAAAATCTGAGTTGGGGGAAGGAGTTATCACCGACTTGGACAAAAGAAGCGGGGGGAGCTGCTGTACACCCGGCGGGCCAGGCCTCCCGCTTCTGGGCAAAAGCTGCCATGGGGACACGAGGATGGAAAAACGTTTCGTTTCCTCATTTTCTTTTTTCTTTTCTTTTCTTTTCTTTTCTTTTCTTTTCTTTTCTTTTCTTTTCTTTTCTTTTCTTTTCTTTTCTTTTCTTTTCTTTTCTTTTCTTTTCTTTTCTTTTCTTTTCTTTTCTTTTCTTTTCTTTCCTTTTTTATTTCCTTTCCTTTTCTTTTTTAAAATTTTCTCCCTTGTCTCTTTTTCTTTTATTTTTTTTTGGTCAAAATTAAGGCTGTGGTGAATGTGTTTTCTCTTGGCAGCGTGACCTGCCTTTGGAGTCGAGCAACGTGTGTTTCTCCCTATTCTTTGCAAAATTTATGTGAGAAAGGCAAATCTGGTGTACAGTGGCAGAGCTCTGCGGAGAAGTGTCCAGATAAGGCAGGGTTGGTTTGTCGGTTGGATTTTTTTTTTTTTGGTCCAGTTTCTCCGAGGCTAAATAAATCTTTCTCCTCTTTGAGAATGGATGGGGTTGTAATTTTTAGCGTAAAGCATGAAAACTGGGGACAAATGAGCCCTCTTCTCTGAAGTGACAAGCGACAATGGAGCATATACAGCCTCCTGCGGTTCGCCATGCTGAAACAAGCGTGCCCCTCCGCAGCAGAGAGAAGGAGAGCGCTTGGAGACCATATGGTTTTTGAATTTTCTTCACAATTTCCAGACAATTTGATGGATTAGGTTAACCCTCCCTTCCACTGTTTAACTCCACAACAATGGGAGCAGAGCTGTTCTCCCTTCGTCGGGGCATCTGTGCTCTTCTATTCTTCTCTCTTTCTCTCTTGGTATTTGGAACAAGCCTATGAATTACAATGAAATTCACTTTTCTTTAGTATTATTTGGAAGAGCACTTGTTTTCCGCCACCTCCCACCCCCACTCCGACATCCCCTCTTTTTTCTTTTTTTTTTTTTTTTTTTTTTTTTTACCTCCGAATGATAGCTTTGACTTCTGTCCAGATCTCTCGGAAAGCCTTCAATCTTGTCCTTAAGTGTTTTTATGCTAAACAGCCAAATCGTAAATGCTGAGAAACTGTGACATTTATGTGAAGATCTAGTTAAAGGGCTTTATTTGTTTTCTTTATCTGTTTTTTTTCCCCATTCCCTCTCCTGTTCCCCCTCCTCTCCTGTCCCCTCCCTCCCCCCATTCTTTTATTCTTTTGTCTTGGAATGGATTTAATGAGGCTGCAAACACTACAATTCAATATAAGCAAGAAATAAAAAAAAAAAAAAGGGTGGCTGGGTGTATGGAAAATAGACTGGGAGTTAATTTGGGTTTCTGATCTATTGACTTCTGAGCGCAAAGAGAAAAGATGCAGGGCCGCCTTGCACCCGCAGAAGTTTACCACACGTGGCTGGGGCGGGATAGTAAATAAAGCCTCCTCCTGAAGATTTGCAGCCTGTTAATTTGGCTCGCCCCCCATTTCAAAATAGCTGGGATTTTGGTTATTTAATCTGCATATTGACAAACCAAAGCTTTTTTCTTCTTTTTTTTTTTTTTTTTTTTTTTTTTTTTTTTTTTTAGCTTAAAATGAATCGCCGGCTTGTACCCCTCGTTTTTCATCCAGTTTGGAACGCGCCGTTCCCTGAGAGCACCTACCTGAGCAGACATTTCGCTCGGGGTTTCCTCTCCCTCGAATTTTAGATACAACACAGCTTTTTTTTTTTTTTCTTAGTTTCTTTTTAGGGGGGGGGGGGGGGGTGTTGTTTTTTTTTGGGGGGGGGGGGTTGGTTTTTTGTTGTTGGGGGGGTTGGGTTTTTGGTGTTTGATTGGGGGGAGGGCGGGGGGAAATGATTTGTTTGTTTATTTGGTTTTGCTGCGGTTTTTTTTCCCCGCAGAAGCAGTAGGGACGCAGTGACAGCGCTGAATCGTGCCCTCTGGGCTGACCCAGTCGCAGCCCTTCCCGGCCAGCTCGTAGGGCTGCTGCCGTGATCGCGGCACAGAACCCCTCCTGCGCCACCCAGACCCCCAGATTACCCCAAATTAGGGATCTCCAGATCTGCCCCGCAGACCCGGCCGCCTCCGGCCGCTCCGCTCCCTGGCCAGCGCTGCCCCGGAGAAGTGGGGAGCTGGGCCGAGATCCTCGGGACTTACTGACTGGGGACACCCGGGACAGCGAGCCTTCACCCTGCCCCCAGTATTTCCTGCGTGGATTCACAGAGGGGTGCAAAACGGTCCCGTTTTCCCACCCCTGGGCAAACAGTCAGAACTCCCAGCCCCGTGCTCCGTGCTCTAGGGACCGGCTCACCGCGATTCCCTTCGTGGAAGGGTAGACGTGGGGCAGGGGGAGTGACCGGCCTTCCCCGAATCATTCCCGACAGGAAAAAAAAAGCGTCAAACCGCTTAAATCCCACAGGTCCTGGCCCGCGGAGGTGAAAACTCTTAATTTGGCAAAAGGGTGCGGGGAAGCATGGAAGGGCTTTGCGGAGTGGTCTGGAGGCCCGGTGGTCCCCCACCACCCACCCCGTCGGGGGCTGCGGTGTCCCGTGTCACCCCCGTCGGGGTGGGCGTGGGCGCTGGTCGCGGGCAGGTGCGGGCAGAGGCTGCGCTCCTGCCGCGGGCATGGCGACTCCCGAGGGTCTCAGTCCAGCCCGCATCTCAGCCACCGCTGTTGCCTCCTGACAGAAACCCCATTTCTCAAACGTAGGAGCCGGACCACCCCCCCTCCCACCCCATACCCATCCTTCATCCCCAAACTTGACACTGCCTTAGATTTCGTTCTGAGGTGTGAAGGGAGAGGGAGGTGAGGGGGCGGTGGAGGGTGTTGTCTGCTTGGAAATGCCACCCTTTAATGTTTGGGTGGGGAGGGGGTACGCTTTTTCTTTTTCCTGAGAGGGGTGGGGAAGATCCATATTTGATCTTGTTCACTTCACACAGGGCTCCCAGACGGAGAATAAAGCCCCCTCCTGAATTATCCAACAGGGCTGAAGCAGGTTGAGTCAGTGAAATTCAGTTCCTTATTTTATGAGGTGTCAGGGCTGATGTCGAATATGGCAACGATAACTAATACTACAGTCTGAGGGACCAGAACGTGGTAATTAATCCCAAAGACTTAAGTGTATTTTAGATCAGGAGAAAAAAAATCACTAATTCAATCGTCCGGAAAATTGAAGTTTGATGCATGAGTCTCTGCTGAAAGGAAAGGCTTTTTCTTCCCGATTCTGGGGTTGGGGCAGGAATCGCAGCCTCTCTCCTCCGCTCCCCAGAAAGGCCCCGGTACAGGGCCGCTGCCAGCCCGCCCCTGGCCCGCGGCACACCGGGGACGGGCACGCCGAGGGACGGGGGAGGCAGAGGGCTCTCCCTGCTTTCCTCTGCACCCTACATGGTCCATCCCGCTTGCCCCCCGCAGCAAACATTACACATTCGCTAGCATATCGTCACCGTTCCCTTATGTCGCGA